GCGTTGGAAACTACATTCAAAAGGTTACATTTCATCAGAAGGAGTCATTTTGAAATTCAGTTTACAAATAAGAGAAAATGGAGCCAAAAGTTGCAGCTTCTACAATTTTCTCGGTTGCACTGGCAGAACAGAGCAGTCGACTTTGATTGGTCGCTACAGATGACTCACTTAGAATTAAAAGGTGCATGATACAACGTTTACGGATGTCTAGTTTCAAATGCCGCTAACAGCACCTGATTTTGACATCTAAGCAAAGAGTTATGATCGTTCAAAGTTTATTGCTAGAGTGCCCCTGTTACACGATTTTCCAGTTTTATTCTTACCAAACTCGGTTTTTTCTCAACCAAATCAAGTGATTTTTGGTGGAAACTTTTCACACATCCTATATAACATATTTGCATCAGATTCAAGGTCATTTGATCACCAAAAATTTGAGTCAAAGCTTCGGCAAAAATAGGGCAGAATTGGTGTGACGACCCCACTTCTCCCAAGGGCGAACCCAAGGGTATCGGCAGGCCGCCTGCCTAGCTCGCGCCAGGACTCAAAACCTAAAGTAATAAAACTAGGTAAATCGAAAGAGCACTATATACAATATATACAAACCCCAAAAGTGTTCTAATTATATTCTTCAAAAGTACCTGCTCATACTATTACATCCTTATAATTATAACCAAAACCAAAGAGTAGACCCTAAGGAGGGTCCTTATACAAACCACCACAACAAAAACAAACATCCTAATTGTCCAACTATTACAAGCAAACCCAACTATACTAGTGTATGTGTCAAAAGTCCCCGCGTCGGCCCCTGCTAAGGAAAACAAAAGGAAAGGGGTAAGCTATATGCTTAGTAAGTAAACAGGGGCAAAAGCGTAAATTTCACGTAACAACAGTTACACAGTAAGAGTAAAGCAAAAGCAGAAAAATAACATCACATAATAAGGATACGGGTGGCTCCAAAGCCAATTCATGTGCCATGTATGAATCTCCTGCCGACACTCCGTCGACCACAAATAATGGTCCGTAGAACTCCACTTGTTCTCCCACCGTACACCTTATCACCCTCTCTGGCCAGACACCTCACAAACTTGCTCGAGCGAACGAAATTGAGCTTGGTTCACAAGCTCGGGTCACAAACTTGGTCCACATAATCGGTGAACCGGATTCACAAACTTGGTGACCTCAAACCAGGTTGGACTGACTTCGACCAAGCCCTAACCGGCTCGAATAGTCCATCTAGGTCATGAGATCGGGCCCCAAACTCACAAACTTCACAAAATTTACTCAAAAGTCACCCCGAGCCACAAGCTCAAGGGGTTTAGTTCCAAAATGATTCATATACATATGCCATGTACAAATATGTGCGTAAATTAGGGTTTAGGTCGAGTGCGATAAAGTACACCCTCGCCTAGGTACCCTTTTCATACATATCGAAACACATAAGCAACTAACACATAAGAGCGGCCTGAGTACTTACTCAACAAACAAAAGAGCAAAAGTTCGAAATTTGTGCCGCAAGGAGTAGCTAGTAGGCCCCACCGGCTTCACCTAACTCACTAACGTCTGAAAGAGAAGATTGCATCGTATAATATCATAAACAGCTACTAATATGCCTAAAACAAGCAAAACGGCAAAATCGGCACATACGAGTGCGGAAACGGCATACGGAAACGGGAATGGCGGCCTAGCCATTTTGCCGTCAAAACTGTTTTGAGCCTAAGCGAAGTTACGAGTGTCGGATCAAGGTACATGAGGTACTTTTACGAAGCTAAGAGGAAGGGTTACAGTTTTCATGAAGACACCTCAATCCGGATCTAAACGGAAATAGGTCGAAAGTACAGAAAACCGTTCCAGGAATTCGCACTCTAGAGTAACGAACAGGGTATGTTTGCTGGACCATAACTCCCAGCTCACAAATCCAAATCAGGAAATTCCAAAGGCATTAGAAATCTGAGACATAAGGTTAAAACATCGATTTTTTGGCCAAAGCCTGAATCCACTCAGAATAGAATGAAATTTGAGTGTCAAAGTACCCGTCAGAACTGTCCAGATTCAAGGCAGTTCTGACGATCAATCTTGTTTTGATCATAACGGAAGCTACGGAACTCGGATTTCGACGCACTTTATACCGTTTCGAAGCTAAAACCAAGATATACATTTCTTATGAAGGAGTTCACACCCAGATCGTACGGGATCAAAACAGAAAAATGCACGGTCAGAAGCTGAAATTCAAAACGTACACAATTTCAGGGTACAAAACAGGTGCGAGTGTTTTGGTCATAACTCGAGCTACACAGATCCGTTTGACCGGAAATTTTGCAGATATATACAGGACTTAAGAGGCTAAAATGTTGAAGAAGGCTACTCAGTCCAGTTTCTATTGAAACCAGGTCAAAATTGCCATATACTACCCCAGAACCGTAAAAACAGGCTCACAAACCGCATTATGGTTAAAACATCATAAGTCTGGCTACCTAAGTCCAAACCAAGTGATTCCAAATCCATACGAAAGCTAAGAAATAGGGCTACAATTCATCAGAAGACCTCAACAACAAATTCTTAAGCATTCCCAACCAAATTCACCAATTACAGTCGCAGTTCTCAAGTTCGGGTAAAAACAGGACAGCAAGGGTAATTCTGTCTTGTCTCAAGCTACGCTACTCCGATTGACCTACAATTTTGTAGCCATCCCTAAAACATCATTCCCTACAATGTTTATGTTTTAACCAAAGGCTAATTCAGCCTCTAACTATGATGAACAGTGCCAGGAAGAAAGTAGAACTTTGAAACCCTAACTTGCTAATTTATCTTCCAAACCAGAAATTTGCTGCAATTAACTACCATTCACACCAACTAACTTCATTCTCAATCATTTCCAACCATCATACATGACCACATAATATTAATCATATGCAAACTGGAAAATCCTAAATAAATAGAAAACTTCACCAATCTTAACTAAAATCAAGAAATAATCCACCAAATCACACTTATAACAACCACAAGTCATTAATTAAACATCATTAGATAGAAGAGAGGGTTTCCATAGTCACTCACCTTATCAACACAAGAAATGAGACCACTTAGCACCTTAAGCTTCCAAACAACTTCACTAGTCACCTCACAACTACTAAGAGAAGGATTTTTATGGAAAGTTTTCGAATTTAATCGGTTGAAATCGAAGATTGAGCAAGATTGAAGCTAAGAAAGTGAAGAGGTTTTTCTTCCTTCTCCTTGGAGAGTGGCCGGCTATAAGGAGCTAAAAATGAAGATGATTTTGGTAATTTTTTTTGGGTTTATTTGGTCAATTAGTAAAAAGGTGAATAGTAGTCAAAATTGTAAGGTTTAATCATATGGTGACACTTGTCACCCTATTTAATACATACATATCCTTTTGTCTCTCTCCACTCTCATCCAGATAACAACCTTTAATTATCTCATAACACCCGGTGAATTAAACCCAGTATCCAAAACTTAACCTAATTGGCCGAATTTTACCGAACTTTCCGCTCTAGTGGGTCCCACGTCCTATATATGTTCTTAATTTCTCAAAAACTAACCGATACTAGAAAAATCATCTAAAAACTATATTTACTCAATAAAAATTATCTGGGGAATTTTCTAATAAAGAAAATGTAGAAAAAGGCGGGCGATAAATAAAACTCCACTTAAGCTTTCTAATAAATTGTAATACTAGAGGTTTGCTAATCTAGAGTTTGCTAACCATTTCAAACTAATACATAAACTAGGGTTTTCAATCTTAACCGAGATTAGGGTTTCCTCCTTAGCCCTAACCCTAACTTCACCACACCGAAATAATGAATAACCCTAATATCAACTTACGAACTGATTGGGGCCTCACAATCTCCCCCACTTAGGAAAATTTCGTCCTCGAAATTAATTCTTTGGTCAAAGCATACCTTCGAAACCCGTCGAAGGGTCAGTCACCTCATATTGACCCATTGCATACACTCTTGCTGGCCCTTTGGCTCGATTTTCCCCTGCATTCATCGGCTTAGTTCTGGTCCCTTCAGTCGAAGGCTTGAGTCCTTCCTTCTGCATCTTAGGGCACCGGGCAATCAGATGTTCGGTACTACCACATTTGAAGCATTTCCGTACCGAACTATTTTTCCAGCAATTTTCATCAGTATGATTGCCCCCACAGAAACCACAGGTTGGCTTAGTGGCCGTACTCGACCCTCCACGCTGGGCACTCCTCTGGGGCTCTTGCACTATCTGACCTCGCCCAAAATTATTCAGAGTTTTTACAGGTCGTGGACCGTCTGCGTCTTTACTCGCCTTCGCGGGTGGCTCGTTTCGCGAGCTCTGTCCAACCGGGGGATCGTTCGAGCTGGGTTGCCTCCTTTTCCGGTCATGAAAGGCTTTAACCTGTCCCCTGGCAGTCTCAATCCGCTGTGCTTTTTCTAGCGCTTGGCTAAACGTGTCCAACTGAGCAGCTGCTAGAGCCTCCTGGATTTCCACATTCAAGCCTTGGACGAAGCGACGAATTCGTTTTCGCTCCGTTAGCACCAACTCCGAAGCAAAACGGGAGAGTTTTGTAAACTGAGTTTCATACTCCGCCACTCTAGATGCCCCTTGACGCAGGCGGATAAAATCATCTTCTCGTTTCTCTTGCACAATGGGCGGCGAGTATTTCTCATTAAATTCTCGAGTAAAATTGACCCATGTCCAGGGGGTCTGTTCTCGCTCCCACTTGGCTTTGATCACGTTCCACCAGGCTCGCGCGGCCCCTTCGAACGGAAAGACGGCAAAGGATATCTGCCGCTCCTCCGAATACCTAAGCGCGGCAAATATGTCTAACATACGATCCATCCAGCCCTCGGCTAGGTCAGGAGTAGGTCCACCTATAAACTTAGGAGGTGCAAATTTCTGGAACCGTTCTAAAGCACGGTCCTCTCCCTCATGATTGCCCGGATTATGTCCCGGATTATGTCCAGGATTCCCAGTACTGCTCCCCTGGCCCTGTTGATTTGTCATTCGCTCTAGTAGATCGGCCATCCGCTGGATGGCTGTAGCGACTTGATCCGGTCCATTTCCATTATTTCCTTCAGAGCCTCGTCCTTGCTCTCCAGCTCTACTTTGACCACCGGAGTCCATTTCGGGGCACAAGTCTATAGATCGGAACGTTACATATACTTATTATTCAAACTATGAGCAAAAGTACGGACGTAAAGCGTATGCACAAAAGACACACAAAAGATAAGTTCAAAATGCCACTCAAATATATACATATATTTACAAAGTCACGCCAAAAGATTTACAGATTACCGACCTCCAATCGGTACAAAACCCAATGTACACAAGAGCACCAGCTCCAAAAATCTAGTCAGTCAACCAAATAACGAAAGAAAGTGGTCATGCCAGTTTTAACAAAAGTAATCCACTAGCTAAACAAAAGTACAAAAGCGACCCTAAACGCCTCTCCTAGGGCCCAGGTTCCCAACGGAACCTAACGTGTCCACCTCGTCCATCCCCTCTGGACCGGTGGCTCGAGACGGTGCCTCCGCGGCCATATCTAGGATGACCTCGCAGTCCATCGAAATACTCCGAACCCTCTCCTTCAGCTGGCTCTTCACAGCGAAAAGGTGCTGATGAGTGTCCTGAAGCTGACGGCGTAAAGCGTCCGCCCTCTGCATCTCATCTCGGAGACCCCGCTCCAAGTCCCTAATACGCATCGCCTGCCCATGGCCAACCTCTCTGGCCTCCTCTAGCTGACTAATCAGGCTGCGTCGCTCATCGTCCACTGCCAGGACGACCTCGTCAGGATAACTGTACGTATACCAACACCTACAAGGTCGGTGTGACACCTGACCAAAAGGGGAGTACAAAATGTAAGGCTCTCCAGGTCTCTGCCGATAACGGATCGCCCGCTTACGCAGCGCTCGATCCTCTGGGCCCCTCGCACTCGGAGGTCTCGGTCCCACGCCACTGGGTCCCGCACCACTCGAACTGCCCGGATACATACCTACAAAATATTAATTCGTCAGCTCACCAGCATTTCAGCTTAAAGTATATCATTCAGCTTAAAAGAATCAAATATGCCTAGTGCCTATCGCGTATGTCCCACTTGCCCAAGTCCTCTAACCTAGGCGCTCTGATACCACCTGTGACGACCCCACTTCTCCCAAGGGCGAACCCAAGGGTATCGGCGGGCCGCCTGCCTAGCTCGCGCCAGGACTCAAAACCTAAAGTAATAGAAATAGGTAAATCGAAAGAGCACTATATACAATATATACAAACCCCAAAAGTGTTCTAATTATATTCTTCAAAAGTACCTGCTCATACTATTATATCCTTATAATTATAACCAAAACCAAAGAGTGGACCCTAAGGAGGGTCCTTATACAAACCACCACAACAAAAACAAACATCCTAATTGTCCAACTATTACAAGCAAACCCAACTATACCAGTGTATGTGTCAAAAGTCCCCGCGTCGGCCCCTGCTAAGGAAAACAAAAGGAAAGGGGTAAGCTATATGCTTAGTAAGTAAACAGGGGCAAAAGCGTAAATTTCGCGTAACAACAGTTACACTGTAAGAGTAAAGGAAAAGCAGAAAAATAACATCACATAATAAGGATATGGGTGGCTCCAAAGCCAATTCATGTGCCATGTATAATCTCCTGCCGACACTCCGTCGACCACAAATAATGGTCCGTAGAACTCCACTTGTTCTCCCACCGTACACCTTATCACCCTCTCTGGCCAGACACCTCACAAACTTGATCGAGCGAACGAAATTGATGTTGGTTCACAAGCTCGGGTCACAAACTTGGTCCACATACTCGGTGAACCGGATTCACAAACTTGGTGACCTCAAACCAGGTTGGACTAACTTCGAACAAGCCCTAACCGGCTCGAATAGTCCATCTAGGTCATGAGATCGGGCCCCAAACTCACAAACTTCACAAAATTTACTCAAAAGTCACCCCGAGCCACAAGCTCAAGGGGTTTAGTTCCAAAATGATTCATATACATATGCCATGTACAAATATGTGCGTAAATTAGGGTTTAGGTCGAGTGCGATAAAGTACACCCTCGCCTAGGCACCCTTTTCATACATATCGAAACACATAAGCAACTAACACATAAGAGCGGCCTGAGTACTTACTCAACGAACAAAAGAGCAAAAGTTCGAAATTTGTGCCGCAAGGAGTAGCTAGTAGGCCCCACCGGCTTCACCTAGCTCACCAACGTCTGAAAGAGAAGATTGCGTCACATAATATCATAAACGGCTACTAATATGCCTAAAACAAGCAAAATGGCAAAATCGGCACATACGAGTGCGGAAACGGCATACGGAAACGGGAATGGCGGCCTAGCCATTTTGCCGTCAAAACTGTTTTGAGCCTAAGCGAAGTTACGAGTGTCGGATCAAGGTACATGAGGTACTGTTACGAAGCTAAGAGGAAGGGTTACAGTTTTCATGAAGACACCTCAATCCGGATCTAAACGGAAATAGGTCGAAAGTACAGAAAACCGTTCCAGGAATTCGCACTCTAGAGTAACGAACAGGGTATGTTTACTGGACCATAACTCCCAGCTCACAAATCCAAATCAGGAAATTCCAAAGGTATTAGAAAGCTGAGACATAAGGCTAAAACATCGATGTTTTGGCCAAGACCTGAATCCACTCAGAATAGAACGAAATTTGAGTGTCAAAGTATCCGTCAGAACTGTCCAGATTCAAGGCAGTTCTGACGATCAATCTTGTTTTGATCATAACGGAAGCTACGGAACTCGGATTTCGACGTACTTTATACCGTTTCGAAGCTAAAACCAAGATATACATTTCTTATGAAGGAGTTAACACCCAGATCGTACGGGATCAAAACAGAAAAATGCACGGTCAGAAGCTGAAATTCAAAACGTACACAATTTCAGGGTACAAAACAGGTGCGAGTGTTTTGGTCATAACTCGAGCTACACAGATCCGTTTGACCGGAAATTCTGTAGATATATAGAGGACTTAAGAGGCTACAATGTTGAAGAAGGCTACTCAGTCCAGTTTCTATTGCAACCAGCTCAAAATTGCCATATACTACCCCAGAACCGTAAAAACAGGCTCACAAACCGTATTCTGGTTCAAACATCATAAGTCAGGCTACCTAAGTCCAAACCAAGTGATTAAAAATCCATCCGAAAGATAAGAAACAGGGTTACAATTCATCAGAAGACCTCAACAACAAATTCTTAAGCATTCCCAACCAAATTCACCAATTACAGTCGCAGTTCTCAAGTTCGGGTAAAAACAGGACAGCAAGGGTAATTCTGTCTTTTCTCAAGCTACGCTACTCCGATTGACCTACAATTTTGTAGCCATCCCTAAAATATCATTCCCTACAACTTTTATGTTTTAACCAAAGGCTAATTCGGCCTCTAACTATGATGAACAGTGCCAGGAAGAAAGTAGAACTTTGAAACCCTAACTTGCTAATTTATCTTCCAAACCAGAAATTTGCTGCAATTAACTACCATTCACACCAACTAACTTCATTCTCAATCATTTCCAACCATCATACATGACCACATGATATTAATCATATGCAAACTGGAAAATCCTAAATAAATAGAAAACTTCACCAATCTTAACTAAAATCAAGAAATAATCCACCAAATCACACTTATAACAACCACAAGTCATTAATTAAACATCATTAGATAGAAGAGAGGGTTTCCATAGTCACTCACCTTATCAACACAAGAAATGAGACCACTTAGCACCTTAAGCTTCCAAACAACTTCACTAGTCACCTCACAACTACTAAGAGAAGGATTTTTATGGAGAGTTTTCGAATTTAATCGGTTGAAATCGAAGATTGAGCAAGATTGAAGCTAAGAAAGTGAAGAGGTTTTTCTTCCTTCTCCTTGGAGAGTGGCCGGCTATAAGGAGCTAAAAATGAAGATGATTTTGGTAATTTTTTTTGGGTTTATTTGGTCAATTAGTAAAAAGGTGAATAGTAGTCAAAATTGTAAGGTTTAATCATATGGTGACACTTGTCACCCTATTTAATACATACATATCCTTTTGTCTCTCTCCACTCTCATCCAGATAACAACCTTTAATTATCTCATAACACCCGGTGAATTAAACCCAGTATCCAAAACTTAACCTAATTGGCCGAATTTTACCGAACTTTCCGCTCTAGTGGGTCCCACGTCCTATATATGTTCTTAATTTCTCAAAAACTAACCGATACTAGAAAAATCATCTAAAAACTATATTTACTCAATAAAAATTATCTGGGGAATTTTCTAATAAAGAAAATGTAGAAAAAGGCGGGCGATAAATAAAACTCCACTTAAGCTTTCTAATAAATTGTAATACTAGAGGTTTGCTAATCTAGAGTTTGCTAACCATTTCAAACTAATACATAAACTAGGGTTTTCAATCTTAACCGAGATTAGGGTTTCCTCCTTAGCCCTAACCCTAACTTCACCACACCGAAATAATGAATAACCCTAATATCAACTTACGAACTGATTGGGGCCTCACAATCTCCCCCACTTAGGAAAATTTCGTCCTCGAAATTAATTCTTTGGTCAAAGCATACCTTCGAAACCCGTCGAAGGGTCAGTCACCTCATATTGACCCATTGCATACACTCTTGCTGGCCCTTTGGCTCGATTTTCCCCTGCATTCATCGGCTTAGTTCTGGTCCCTTCAGTCGATGGCTTGAGTCCTTCCTTCTGCATCTTAGGGCACCGGGCAATCAGATGTTCGGTACTACCACATTTGAAGCATTTCCGTACCGAACTATTTTTCTAGCAATTTTCATCAGTATGATTGCCCCCACAGAAACCACAGGTTGGCTTAGTGGCCGTACTCGACCCTCCACGCTGGGCACTCCTCTGGGGCTCTTGCACTATCTGACCTCGCCCAAAATTATTCAGAGTTTTTACAGGTCGTGGACCGTCTGCGTCTTTACTCGCCTTCGCGGGTGGCTCGTTTCGCGAGCTCTGTCCAACCGGGGGATCGTTCGAGCTGGGTTGCCTCCTTTTCCGGTCATGAAAGGCTTTAACCTGTCCCCTGGCAGTCTCAATCCGCTGTGCTTTTTCTAGCGCTTGGCTAAACGTGTCCAACTGAGCAGCTGCTAGAGCCTCCTGGATTTCCACATTCAGGCCTTGGACGAAGAGACGAATTCGTTTTCGCTCCGTTAGCACCAACTCCGAAGCAAAATGGGAGAGTTTTGTAAACTGAGTTTCATACTCCGCCACTCTAGATGCCCCTTGACGCAGGCGGATAAAATCATCTTCTCGTTTCTCTTGCACAATGGGCGGCGAGTATTTCTCATTAAATTCTCGAGTAAAATTGACCCATGTCCAGGGGGTCTGTTCTCGCTCCCACTTGGCTTTGATCACGTTCCACCAGGCTCGCGCGGCCCCTTCGAACGGAAAGACGGCAAAGGATATCTGCCGCTCCTCCGAATACCTAAGCGCGGCAAATATGTCTAACATACGATCCATCCAGCCCTCGGCTAGGTCAGGAGTAGGTCCACCTATAAACTTAGGAGGTGCAAATTTCTGGAACCGTTCTAAAGCACGGTCCTCTCCCTCATGATTGCCCGGATTATGTCCCGGATTATGTCCAGGATTCCCAGTACTGCTCCCCTGGCCCTGTTGATTTGTCATTCGCTCTAGTAGATCGGCCATCCGCTGGATGGCTGTAGCGACTTGATCCGGTCCATTTCCATTATTTCCTTCAGAGCCTCGTCCTTGCTCTCCAGCTCTACTTTGACCACCGGAGTCCATTTCGGGGCACAAGTCTATAGATCGGAACGTTACATATACTTATTATTCAAACTATGAGCAAAAGTACGGACGTAAAGCGTATGCACAAAAGACACACAAAAGATAAGTTCAAAATGCCACTCAAATATATACATATATTTACAAAGTCACGCCAAAAGATTTACAGATTACCGACCTCCAATCGGTACAAAACCCAATGTACACAAGAGCACCGGCTCCAAAAATCTAGTCAGTCAACCAAATAACGAAAGAAAGTGGTCATGCCAGTTTTAACAAAAGTAATCCACTAGCTAAACAAAAGTACAAAAGCGACCCTAAACGCCTCTCCTAGGGCCCAGGTTCCCAACGGAACCTAACGTGTCCACCTCGTCCATCCCCTCTGGACCGGTGGCTCGAGACGGTGCCTCTGCGGCCATATCTAGGATGACCTCGCAGTCCATCGAAATACTCCGAACCCTCTCCTTCAGCTGCCTCTTCACAGCGAAAAGGTGCTGATGAGTGTCCTGAAGCTGACGGCGTAAAGCGTCCGCCCTCTGCATCTCATCTCGGAGACCCCGCTCCAAGTCCCTAATACGCATCGCCTGCCCATGGCCAACCTCTCTGGCCTCCTCTAGCTGACTAATCAGGCTGCGTCGCTCATCGTCCACTGCCAGGACGACCTCGTCAGGATAACTGTACGTATACCAACACCTACAAGGTCGGTGTGACACCTGACCAAAAGGGGAGTACAAAGTGTAAGGCTCTCCAGGTCTCTGCCGATAACGGATCGCCCGCTTACGCAGCGCTCGATCCTCTGGGCCCCTCGCACTCGGAGGTCTCGGTCCCACGCCACTGGGTCCCGCACCACTCGAACTGCCCGGATACATACCTACAAAATATTAATTCGTCAGCTCACCAGCATTTCAGCTTAAAGTATATCATTCAGCTTAAAAGAATCAAATATGCCTAGTGCCTATCGCGTATGTCCCACTTGCCCAAGTCCTCTAACCTAGGCGCTCTGATACCACCTGTGACGACCCCACTTCTCCCAAGGGCGAACCCAAGGGTATCGGCGGGCCGCCTGCCTAGCTCGCGCCAGGACTCAAAACCTAAAGTAATAGAACTAGGTAAATCGAAAGAGCACTATATACAATATATACAAACCCCAAAAGTGTTCTAATTATATTCTTCAAAAGTACCTGCTCATACTATTACATCCTTATAATTATAACCAAAACCAAAGAGTGGACCCTAAGGAGGGTCCTTATACAAACCACCACAACAAAAACAAACATCCTAATTGTCCAACTATTACAAGCAAACCCAACTATACCAGTGTATGTGTCAAAAGTCCCCGCGTCGGCCCCTGCTAAGGAAAACAAAAGGAAAGGGGTAAGCTATATGCTTAGTAAGTAAACAGGGGCAAAAGCGTAAATTTCACGTAACAACAGTTACACTGTAAGAGTAAAGGAAAAGCAGAAAAATAACATCACATAATAAGGATACGGGTGGCTCCAAAGCCAATTCATGTGCCATGTATAATCTCCTGCCGACACTCCGTCGACCACAAATAATGGTCCGTAGAACTCCACTTGTTCTCCCACCGTACACCTTATCACCCTCTCTGGCCAGACACCTCACAAACTTGATCGAGCGAACGAAATTGAGGTTGGTTCACAAGCTCGGGTCACAAACTTGGTCCACATACTCGGTGAACCGGATTCACAAACTTGGTGACCTCAAACCAGGTTGGACTAACTTCGAACAAGCCCTAACCGGCTCGAATAGTCCATCTAGGTCATGAGATCGGGCCCCAAACTCACAAACTTCACAAAATTTACTCAAAAGTCACCCCGAGCCACAAGCTCAAGGGGTTTAGTTCCAAAATGATTCATATACATATGCCATGTACAAATATGTGCGTAAATTAGGGTTTAGGTCGAGTGCGATAAAGTACACCCTCGCCTAGACACCCTTTTCATACATATCGAAACACATAAGCAACTAACACATAAGAGCGGCCTGAGTACTTACTCAACGAACAAAAGAGCAAAAGTTCGAAATTTGTGCCGCAAGGAGTAGCTAGTAGGCCCCACCGGCTTCACCTAGCTCACCAACGTCTGAAAGAGAAGATTGCGTCACATAATATCATAAACGGCTACTAATATGCCTAAAACAAGCAAAACGGCAAAATCGGCACATACGAGTGCGGAAACGGCATACGGAAACGGGAATGGCGGCCTAGCCATTTTGCCGTCAAAACTGTTTTGAGCCTAAGCGAAGTTACGAGTGTCGGATCAAGGTACATGAGGTACTGTTACGAAGCTAAGAGGAAGGGTTACAGTTTTCATGAAGACACCTCAATCCGGATCTAAACGGAAATAGGTCGAAAGTACAGAAAACCGTTCCAGGAATTCGCACTCTAGAGTAACGAACAGGGTATGTTTGCTGGACCATAACTCCCAGCTCACAAATCCAAATCAGGAAATTCGAAAGGTATTAGAAAGCTGAGACATAAGGCTAAAACATCGATGTTTTGGCCAAGACCTGAATCCACTCAGAATAGAACAAAATTTGAGTGTCAAAGTATCCGTCAGAACTGTCCAGATTCAAGGCAGTTCTGACGATCAATCTTGTTTTGATCATAACGGAAGCTACGGAACTCGGATTTTGACGTACTTTATACCGTTTCGAAGCTAAAACCAATATCTACATTTCTTATGAAGGAGTTAACACCCAGATCGTACGGGATCAAAACGGAAAAATGCACGGTCAGAAGCTGAAATTCAAAACGTACACAATTTCAGGGTACAAAACAGGTGCGAGTGTTTTGGTCATAACTCGAGCTACACAGATCCGTTTGACCGGAAATTCTGTAGATATATACAGGACTTAAGAGGCTACAATGTTGAAGAAGGCTACTCAGTCCAGTTTCTATTGCAACCAGCTCAAAATTGCCATATACTACCCCAGAACCGTAAAAACAGGCTCACAAACCGTATTCTGGTTCAAACATCATAAGTCAGGCTACCTAAGTCCAAACCAAGTGATTAAAAATCCATCCGAAAGATAAGAAACAGGGTTACAATTCATCAGAAGACCTCAACAACAAATTCTTAAGCATTCCCAACCAAATTCACCAATTACAGTCGCAGTTCTCAAGTTCGGGTAAAAACAGGACAGCAAGGGTAATTCTGTCTTTTCTCAAGCTACGGTACTCCGATTGACCTACAACTTTGTAGCCATCCCTAAAACATCATTCCCTACAACTTTTATGTTTTAACCAAAGGCTAATTCGGCCTCTAACTATGATGAACAGTGCCAGGAAGAAAGTAGAACTTTGAAACCCTAACTTGCTAATTTATCTTCCAAACCAGAAATTTGCTGCAATTAACTACCATTCACACCAACTAACTTCATTCTCAATCATTTCCAACCATCATACATGACCACATGATATTAATCATATGCAAACTGGAAAATCCTAAATAAATAGAAAACTTCACCAATCTTAACTAAAATCAAGAAATAATCCACCAAATCACACTTATAACAACCACAAGTCATTAATTAAACATCATTAGATAGAAGAGAGGGTTTCCATAGTCACTGACCTTATCAACACAAGAAATGAGACCACTTAGCACCTTAAGCTTCCAAACAACTTCACTAGTCACCTCACAACTACTAAGAGAAGGATTTTTATGGAGAGTTTTCGAATTTAATCGGTTGAAATCGAAGATTGAGCAAGATTGAAGCTAAGAAAGTGAAGAGGTTTTTCTTCCTTCTCCTTGGAGAGTGGCCGGCTATAAGGAGCTAAAAATGAAGATGATTTTGGTAATTTTTTTTGGGTTTATTTGGTCAATTAGTAAAAAGGTGAATAGTAGTCAAAATTGTAAGGTTTAATCATATGGTGACACTTGTCACCCTATTTAATACATACATAACCTTTTGTCTCTCTCCACTCTCATCCAGATAACAACCTTTAATTATCTCATAACACCCGGTGAATTAAACCCAGTATCCAAAACTTAACCTAATTGGCCGAATTTTACCGAACTTTCCGCGCTAGTGGGTCCCACGTCCTATATATGTTCTTAATTTCTCAAAAACTAACCGATACTAGAAAAATCATCTAAAAACTATATTTATTCAATAAAAATTATCTGGGGAATTTTCTAATAAAGAAAATGTAGAAAAAGGCGGGCGATAAATAAAACTCCACTTAAGCTTTCTAATAAATTGTAATACTAGAGGTTTGCTAATCTAGAGTTTGCTAACCATTTCAAACTAATACATAAACTAGGGTTTTCAATCTTAACCGAGATTAGGGTTTCCTCCTTAGCCCTAACCCTAACTTCACCACACCGAAATAATGAATAACCCTAATATCAACTTACGAACTGATTGGGGCCTCACAATCTCCCCCACTTAGGAAAATTTCGTCCTCGAAATTAATTCTTTGGTCAAAGCATACCTTCGAAACCCGTCGAAGGGTCAGTCACCTCATATTGACCCATTGCATACACTCTTGCTGGCCCTTTGGCTCGATTTTCCCCTGCATTCATCGGCTTAGTTCTGGTCCCTTCAGTCGATGGCTTGAGTCCTTCCTTCTGCATCTTAGGGCACCGGGCAATCAGATGTTCGGTACTACCACATTTGAAGCATTTCCGTACCGAACTATTTTTCTAGCAATTTTCATCAGTATGATTGCCCCCACAGAAACCACAGGTTGGCTTAGTGGCCGTACTCGACCCTCCACGCTGGGCACTCCTCTGGGGCTCTTGCACTATCTGACCTCGCCCAAAATTATTCAGAGTTTTTACAGGTCGTGGACCGTCTGCGTCTTTACTCGCCTTCGCGGGTGGCTCGTTTCGCGAGCTCTGTCCAACCGGGGGATCGTTCGAGCTGGGTTGCCTCCTTTTCCGGTCATGAAAGGCTTTAACCTGTCCCCTGGCAGTCTCAATCCGCTGTGCTTTTTCTAGCGCTTGGCTAAACGTGTCCAACTGAGCAGCTGCTAGAGCCTCCTGGATTTCCACATTCAGGCCTTGGACGAAGAGACGAATTCGTTTTCGCTCCGTTAGCACCAACTCCGAAGCAAAATGGGAGAGTTTTGTAAACTGAGTTTCATACTCCGCCACTCTAGATGCCCCTTGACGCAGGCGGATAAAATCATCTTCTCGTTTCTCTTGCACAATGGGCGGCGAGTATTTCTCATTAAATTCTCGAGTAAAATTGACCCATGTCCAGGGGGTCTGTTCTCGCTCCCACTTGGCTTTGATCACGTTCCACCAGGCTCGCGCGGCCCCTTCGAACGGAAAGACGGCAAAGGATATCTGCCGCTCCTCCGAATACCTAAGCGCGGCAAATATGTCTAACATACGATCCATCCAGCCCTCGGCTAGGTCAGGAGTAGGTCCACCTATAAACTTAGGAGGTGCAAATTTCTGGAACCGTTCTAAAGCACGGTCCTCTCCCTCATGATTGCCCGGATTATGTCCCGGATTATGTCCAGGATTCCCAGTACTGCTCCCCTGGCCCTGTTGATTTGTCATTCGCTCTAGTAGATCGGCCATCCGCTGGATGGCTGTAGCGACTTGATCCGGTCCATTTCCATTATTTCCTTCAGAGCCTCGTCCTTGCTCTCCAGCTCTACTTTGACCACCGGAGTCCATTTCGGGGCACAAGTCTATAGATCGGAACGTTACATATACTTATTATTCAAACTATGAGCAAAAGTACGGACGTAAAGCGTATGCACAAAAGACACACAAAAGATAAGTTCAAAATGCCACTCAAATATATACATATATTTACAAAGTCACGCCAAAAGATTTACAGATTACCGACCTCCAATCGGTACAAAACCCAATGTACACAAGAGCACCGGCTCCAAAAATCTAGTCAGTCAACCAAATAACGAAAGAAAGTGGTCATGCCAGTTTTAACAAAAGTAATCCACTAGCTAAACAAAAGTACAAAAGCGACCCTAAACGCCTCTCCTAGGGCCCAGGTTCCCAACGGAACCTAACGTGTCCACCTCGTCCATCCCCTCTGGACCGGTGGCTCGAGACGGTGCCTCTGCGGCCATATCTAGGATGACCTCGCAGTCCATCGAAATACTCCGAACCCTCTCCTTCAGCTGCCTCTTCACAGCGAAAAGGTGCTGATGAGTGTCCTGAAGCTGACGGCGTAAAGCGTCCGCCCTCTGCATCTCATCTCGGAGACCCCGCTCCAAGTCCCTAATACGCATCGCCTGCCCATGGCCAACCTCTCTGGCCTCCTCTAGCTGACTAATCAGGCTGCGTCGCTCATCGTCCACTGCCAGGACGACCTCGTCAGGATAACTGTACGTATACCAACACCTACAAGGTCGGTGTGACACCTGACCAAAAGGGGAGTACAAAGTGTAAGGCTCTCCAGGTCTCTGCCGATAACGGATCGCCCGCTTACGCAGCGCTCGATCCTCTGGGCCCCTCGCACTCGGAGGTCTCGGTCCCACGCCACTGGGTCCCGCACCACTCGAACTGCCCGGATACATACCTACAAAATATTAATTCGTCAGCTCACCAGCATTTCAGCTTAAAGTATATCATTCAGCTTAAAAGAATCAAATATGCCTAGTGCCTATCGCGTATGTCCCACTTGCCCAAGTCCTCTAACCTAGGCGCTCTGATACCACCTGTGACGACCCCACTTCTCCCAAGGGCGAACCCAAGGGTATCGGCGGGCCGCCTGCCTAGCTCGCGCCAGGACTCAAAACCTAAAGTAATAGAACTAGGTAAATCGAAAGAGCACTATATACAATATATACAAACCCCAAAAGTGTTCTAATTATATTCTTCAAAAGTACCTGCTCATACTATTACATCCTTATAATTATAACCAAAACCAAAGAGTGGACCCTAAGGAGGGTCCTTATACAAACCACCACAACAAAAACAAACATCCTAATTGTCCAACTATTACAAGCAAACCCAACTATACCAGTGTATGTGTCAAAAGTCCCCGCGTCGGACCCTGCTAAGGAAAACAAAAGGAAAGGGGTAAGCTATATGCTTAGTAAGTAAACAGGGGCAAAAGCGTAAATTTCACGTAACAACAGTTACACTGTAAGAGTAAAGCAAAAGCAGAAAAATAACATCACATAATAAGGATACGGGTGGCTCCAAAGCCAATTCATGTGCCATGTATAATCTCCTGCCGACACTCCGTCGACCACAAATAATGGTCCGTAGAACTCCACTTGTTCTCCCACCGTACACCTTATCACCCTCTCTGGCCAGACACCTCACAAACTTGATCGAGCGAACGAAATTGAGGTTGGTTCACAAGCTCGGGTCACAAACTTGGTCCACATACTCGGTGAACCGGATTCACAAACTTGGTGACCTCAAACCAGGTTGGACTAACTTCGAACAAGCCCTAACCGGCTCGAATAGTCCATCTAGGTCATGAGATCGGGCCCCAAACTCACAAACTTCACAAAATTTACTCAAAAGTCACCCCGAGCCACAAGCTCAAGGGGTTTAGTTCCAAAATGATTCATATACATATGCCATGTACAAATATGTGCGTAAATTAGGGTTTAGGTCGAGTGCGATAAAGTACACCCTCGCCTAGACACCCTTTTCATACATATCGAAACACATAAGCAACTAACACATAAGAGCGGCCTGAGTACTTACTCAACGAACAAAAGAGCAAAAGTTCGAAATTTGTGCCGCAAGGAGTAGCTAGTAGGCCCCACCGGCTTCACCTAGCTCACCAACGTCTGAAAGAGAAGATTGCGTCACATAATATCATAAACGGCTACTAATATGCCTAAAACAAGCAAAACGGCAAAATCGGCACATACGAGTGCGGAAACGGCATACGGAAACGGGAATGGCGGCCTAGCCATTTTGCCGTCAAAACTGTTTTGAGCCTAAGCGAAGTTACGAGTGTCGGATCAAGGTACATGAGGTACTGTTACGAAGCTAAGAGGAAGGGTTACAGTTTTCATGAAGACACCTCAATCCGGATCTAAACGGAAATAGGTCGAAAGTACAGAAAACCGTTCCAGGAATTCGCACTCTAGAGTAACGAACAGGGTATGTTTGCTGGACCATAACTCCCAGCTCACAAATCCAAATCAGGAAATTCGAAAGGTATTAGAAATCTGAGACATAAGGCTAAAACATCGATGTTTTGGCCAAGACCTGAATCCACTCAGAATAGAACAAAATTTGAGTGTCAAAGTATCCGTCAGAACTGTCCAGATTCAAGGCAGTTCTGACGATCAATCTTGTTTTGATCATAACGGAAGCTACGGAACTCGGATTTCGACGTACTTTATACCGTTTCGAAGCTAAAACCAAGATCTACATTTCTTATGAAGGAGTTAACACCCAGATCGTACGGGATCAAAACGGAAAAATGCACGGTCAGAAGCTGAAATTCAAAACGTACACAATTTCAGGGTACAAAACAGGTGCGAGTGTTTTGGTCATAACTCGAGCTACACAGATCCGTTTGACCGGAAATTCTGTAGATATATACAGGACTTAAGAGGCTACAATGTTGAAGAAGTCTACTCAGTCCAGTTTCTATTGCAACCAGCTCAAAATTGCCATATACTACCCCAGAACCGTAAAAACAGGCTCACAAACCGTATTCTGGTTCAAACATCATAAGTCAGGCTACCTAAGTCCAAACCAAGTGATTCCAAATCCATCCGAAAGATAAGAAACAGGGTTACAATTCATCAGAAGACCTCAACAACAAATTCTTAAGCATTCCCAACCAAATTCACCAATTACAGTCGCAGTTCTCAAGTTCGGGTAAAAACAGGACAGCAAGGGTAATTCTGTCTTTTCTCAAGCTACGGTACTCCGATTGACCTACAACTTTGTAGCCATCCCTAAAACATCATTCCCTACAACTTTTATGTTTTAACCAAAGGCTAATTCGGCCTCTAACTATGATGAACAGTGCCAGGAAGAAAGTAGAACTTTGAAACCCTAACTTGCTAATTTATCTTCCAAACCAGAAATTTGCTGCAATTAACTACCATTCACACCAACTAACTTCATTCTCAATCATTTCCAACCATCATACATGACCACATGATATTAATCATATGCAAACTGGAAAATCCTAAATAAATAGAAAACTTCACCAATCTTAACTAAAATCAAGAAATAATCCACCAAATCACACTTATAACAACCACAAGTCATTAATTAAACATCATTAGATAGAAGAGAGGGTTTCCATAGTCACTGACCTTATCAACACAAGAAATGAGACCACTTAGCACCTTAAGCTTCCAAACAACTTCACTAGTCACCTCACAACTACTAAGAGAAGGATTTTTATGGAGAGTTTTCGAATTTAATCGGTTGAAATCGAAGATTGAGCAAGATTGAAGCTAAGAAAGTGAAGAGGTTTTTCTTCCTTCTCCTTGGAGAGTGGCCGGCTATAAGGAGCTAAAAATGAAGATGATTTTGGTAATTTTTTTTGGGTTTATTTGGTCAATTAGTAAAAAGGTGAATAGTAGTCAAAATTGTAAGGTTTAATCATATGGTGACACTTGTCACCCTATTTAATACATACATAACCTTTTGTCTCTCTCCACTCTCATCCAGATAACAACCTTTAATTATCTCATAACACCCGGTGAATTAAACCCAGTATCCAAAACTTAACCTAATTGGCCGAATTTTACCGAACTTTCCGCGCTAGTGGGTCCCACGTCCTATATATGTTCTTAATTTCTCAAAAACTAACCGATACTAGAAAAATCATCTAAAAACTATATTTATTCAATAAAAATTATCTGGGGAATTTTCTAATAAAGAAAATGTAGAAAAAGGCGGGCGATAAATAAAACTCCACTTAAGCTTTCTAATAAATTGTAATACTAGAGGTTTGCTAATCTAGAGTTTGCTAACCATTTCAAACTAATACATAAACTAGGGTTTTCAATCTTAACCGAGATTAGGGTTTCCTCCTTAGCCCTAACCCTAACTTCACCACACCGAAATAATGAATAACCCTAATATCAACTTACGAACTGATTGGGGCCTCACAATCTCCCCCACTTAGGAAAATTTCGTCCTCGAAATTAATTCTTTGGTCAAAGCATACCTTCGAAACCCGTCGAAGGGTCAGTCACCTCATATTGACCCATTGCATACACTCTTGCTGGCCCTTTGGCTCGATTTTCCCCTGCATTCATCGGCTTAGTTCTGGTCCCTTCAGTCGATGGCTTGAGTCCTTCCTTCTGCATCTTAGGGCACCGGGCAATCAGATGTTCGGTACTACCACATTTGAAGCATTTCCGTACCGAACTATTTTTCTAGCAATTTTCATCAGTATGATTGCCCCCACAGAAACCACAGGTTGGCTTAGTGGCCGTACTCGACCCTCCACGCTGGGCACTCCTCTGGGGCTCTTGCACTATCTGACCTCGCCCAAAATTATTCAGAGTTTTTACAGGTCGTGGACCGTCTGCGTCTTTACTCGCCTTCGCGGGTGGCTCGTTTCGCGAGCTCTGTCCAACCGGGGGATCGTTCGAGCTGGGTTGCCTCCTTTTCCGGTCATGAAAGGCTTTAACCTGTCCCCTGGCAGTCTCAATCCGCTGTGCTTTTTCTAGCGCTTGGCTAAACGTGTCCAACTGAGCAGCTGCTAGAGCCTCCTGGATTTCCACATTCAGGCCTTGGACGAAGAGACGAATTCGTTTTCGCTCCGTTAGCACCAACTCCGAAGCAAAACGGGAGAGTTTTGTAAACTGAGTTTCATACTCCGCCACTCTAGATGCCCCTTGACGCAGGCGGATAAAATCATCTTCTCGTTTCTCTTGCACAATGGGCGGCGAGTATTTCTCATTAAATTCTCGAGTAAAATTGACCCATGTCCAGGGGGTCTGTTCTCGCTCCCACTTGGCTTTGATCACGTTCCACCAGGCTCGCGCGGCCCCTTCGAACGGAAAGACGGCAAAGGATATCTGCCGCTCCTCCGAATACCTAAGCGCGGCAAATATGTCTAACATACGATCCATCCAGCCCTCGGCTAGGTCAGGAGTAGGTCCACCTATAAACTTAGGAGGTGCAAATTTCTGGAACCGTTCTAAAGCACGGTCCTCTCCCTCATGATTGCCCGGATTATGTCCCGGATTATGTCCAGGATTCCCAGTACTGCTCCCCTGGCCCTGTTGATTTGTCATTCGCTCTAGTAGATCGGCCATCCGCTGGATGGCTGTAGCGACTTGATCCGGTCCATTTCCATTATTTCCTTCAGAGCCTCGTCCTTGCTCTCCAGCTCTACTTTGACCACCGGAGTCCATTTCGGGGCACAAGTCTATAGATCGGAACGTTACATATACTTATTATTCAAACTATGAGCAAAAGTACGGACGTAAAGCGTATGCACAAAAGACACACAAAAGATAAGTTCAAAATGCCACTCAAATATATACATATATTTACAAAGTCACGCCAAAAGATTTACAGATTACCGACCTCCAATCGGTACAAAACCCAATGTACACAAGAGCACCGGCTCCAAAAATCTAGTCAGTCAACCAAATAACGAAAGAAAGTGGTCATGCCAGTTTTAACAAAAGTAATCCACTAGCTAAACAAAAGTACAAAAGCGACCCTAAACGCCTCTCCTAGGGCCCAGGTTCCCAACGGAACCTAACGTGTCCACCTCGTCCATCCCCTCTGGACCGGTGGCTCGAGACGGTGCCTCTGCGGCCATATCTAGGATGACCTCGCAGTCCATCGAAATACTCCGAACCCTCTCCTTCAGCTGCCTCTTCACAGCGAAAAGGTGCTGATGAGTGTCCTGAAGCTGACGGCGTAAAGCGTCCGCCCTCTGCATCTCATCTCGGAGACCCCGCTCCAAGTCCCTAATACGCATCGCCTGCCCATGGCCAACCTCTCTGGCCTCCTCTAGCTGACTAATCAGGCTGCGTCGCTCATCGTCCACTGCCAGGACGACCTCGTCAGGATAACTGTACGTATACCAACACCTACAAGGTCGGTGTGACACCTGACCAAAAGGGGAGTACAAAGTGTAAGGCTCTCCAGGTCTCTGCCGATAACGGATCGCCCGCTTACGCAGCGCTCGATCCTCTGGGCCCCTCGCACTCGGAGGTCTCGGTCCCACGCCACTGGGTCCCGCACCACTCGAACTGCCCGGATACATACCTACAAAATATTAATTCGTCAGCTCACCAGCATTTCAGCTTAAAGTATATCATTCAGCTTAAAAGAATCAAATATGCCTAGTGCCTATCGCGTATGTCCCACTTGCCCAAGTCCTCTAACCTAGGCGCTCTGATACCACCTGTGACGACCCCACTTCTCCCAAGGGCGAACCCAAGGGTATCGGCGGGCCGCCTGCCTAGCTCGCGCCAGGACTCAAAACCTAAAGTAATAGAACTAGGTAAATCGAAAGAGCACTATATACAATATATACAAACCCCAAAAGTGTTCTAATTATATTCTTCAAAAGTACCTGCTCATACTATTACATCCTTATAATTATAACCAAAACCAAAGAGTGGACCCTAAGGAGGGTCCTTATACAAACCACCACAACAAAAACAAACATCCTAATTGTCCAACTATTACAAGCAAACCCAACTATACCAGTGTATGTGTCAAAAGTCCCCGCGTCGGACCCTGCTAAGGAAAACAAAAGGAAAGGGGTAAGCTATATGCTTAGTAAGTAAACAGGGGCAAAAGCGTAAATTTCACGTAACAACAGTTACACTGTAAGAGTAAAGCAAAAGCAGAAAAATAACATCACATAATAAGGATACGGGTGGCTCCAAAGCCAATTCATGTGCCATGTATAATCTCCTGCCGACACTCCGTCGACCACAAATAATGGTCCGTAGAACTCCACTTGTTCTCCCACCGTACACCTTATCACCCTCTCTGGCCAGACACCTCACAAACTTGATCGAGCGAACGAAATTGAGGTTGGTTCACAAGCTCGGGTCACAAACTTGGTCCACATACTCGGTGAACCGGATTCACAAACTTGGTGACCTCAAACCAGGTTGGACTAACTTCGAACAAGCCCTAACCGGCTCGAATAGTCCATCTAGGTCATGAGATCGGGCCCCAAACTCACAAACTTCACAAAATTTACTCAAAAGTCACCCCGAGCCACAAGCTCAAGGGGTTTAGTTCCAAAATGATTCATATACATATGCCATGTACAAATATGTGCGTAAATTAGGGTTTAGGTCGAGTGCGATAAAGTACACCCTCGCCTAGACACCCTTTTCATACATATCGAAACACATAAGCAACTAACACATAAGAGCGGCCTGAGTACTTACTCAACGAACAAAAGAGCAAAAGTTCGAAATTTGTGCCGCAAGGAGTAGCTAGTAGGCCCCACCGGCTTCACCTAGCTCACCAACGTCTGAAAGAGAAGATTGCGTCACATAATATCATAAACGGCTACTAATATGCCTAAAACAAGCAAAACGGCAAAATCGGCACATACGAGTGCGGAAACGGCATACGGAAACGGGAATGGCGGCCTAGCCATTTTGCCGTCAAAACTGTTTTGAGCCTAAGCGAAGTTACGAGTGTCGGATCAAGGTACATGAGGTACTGTTACGAAGCTAAGAGGAAGGGTTACAGTTTTCATGAAGACACCTCAATCCGGATCTAAACGGAAATAGGTCGAAAGTACAGAAAACCGTTCCAGGAATTCGCACTCTAGAGTAACGAACAGGGTATGTTTGCTGGACCATAACTCCCAGCTCACAAATCCAAATCAGGAAATTCGAAAGGTATTAGAAATCTGAGACATAAGGCTAAAACATCGATGTTTTGGCCAAGACCTGAATCCACTCAGAATAGAACAAAATTTGAGTGTCAAAGTATCCGTCAGAACTGTCCAGATTCAAGGCAGTTCTGACGATCAATCTTGTTTTGATCATAACGGAAGCTACGGAACTCGGATTTCGACGTACTTTATACCGTTTCGAAGCTAAAACCAAGATCTACATTTCTTATGAAGGAGTTAACACCCAGATCGTACGGGATCAAAACGGAAAAATGCACGGTCAGAAGCTGAAATTCAAAACGTACACAATTTCAGGGTACAAAACAGGTGCGAGTGTTTTGGTCATAACTCGAGCTACACAGATCCGTTTGACCGGAAATTCTGTAGATATATACAGGACTTAAGAGGCTACAATGTTGAAGAAGTCTACTCAGTCCAGTTTCTATTGCAACCAGCTCAAAATTGCCATATACTACCCCAGAACCGTAAAAACAGGCTCACAAACCGTATTCTGGTTCAAACATCATAAGTCAGGCTACCTAAGTCCAAACCAAGTGATTCCAAATCCATCCGAAAGATAAGAAACAGGGTTACAATTCATCAGAAGACCTCAACAACAAATTCTTAAGCATTCCCAACCAAATTCACCAATTACAGTCGCAGTTCTCAAGTTCGGGTAAAAACAGGACAGCAAGGGTAATTCTGTCTTTTCTCAAGCTACGGTACTCCGATTGACCTACAACTTTGTAGCCATCCCTAAAACATCATTCCCTACAACTTTTATGTTTTAACCAAAGGCTAATTCGGCCTCTAACTATGATGAACAGTGCCAGGAAGAAAGTAGAACTTTGAAACCCTAACTTGCTAATTTATCTTCCAAACCAGAAATTTGCTGCAATTAACTACCATTCACACCAACTAACTTCATTCTCAATCATTTCCAACCATCATACATGACCACATGATATTAATCATATGCAAACTGGAAAATCCTAAATAAATAGAAAACTTCACCAATCTTAACTAAAATCAAGAAATAATCCACCAAATCACACTTATAACAACCACAAGTCATTAATTAAACATCATTAGATAGAAGAGAGGGTTTCCATAGTCACTCACCTTATCAACACAAGAAATGAGACCACTTAGCACCTTAAGCTTCCAAACAACTTCACTAGTCACCTCACAACTACTAAGAGAAGGATTTTTATGGAGAGTTTTCGAATTTAATCGGTTGAAATCGAAGATTGAGCAAGATTGAAGCTAAGAAAGTGAAGAGGTTTTTCTTCCTTCTCCTTGGAGAGTGGCCGGCTATAAGGAGCTAAAAATGAAGATGATTTTGGTAATTTTTTTTGGGTTTATTTGGTCAATTAGTAAAAAGGTGAATAGTAGTCAAAATTGTAAGGTTTAATCATATGGTGACACTTGTCACCCTATTTAATACATACATATCCTTTTGTCTCTCTACACTCTCATCCAGATAACAACCTTTAATTATCTCATAACACCCGGTGAATTAAACCCAGTATCCAAAACTTAACCTAATTGGCCGAATTTTACCGAACTTTCCGCGCTAGTGGGTCCCACGTCCTATATATGTTCTTAATTTCTCAAAAACTAACCGATACTAGAAAAATCATCTAAAAACTATATTTACTCAATAAAAATTATCTGGGGAATTTTCTAATAAAGAAAATGTAGAAAAAGGCGGGCGATAAATAAAACTCCACTTAAGCTTTCTAATAAATTGTAATACTAGAGGTTTGCTAATCTAGAGTTTTCTAACCATTTCAAACTAATACATAAACTAGCGTTTTCAATCTTAACCAAGATTAGGGTTTCCTCCTTAGCCCTAACCCTAACTTCACCACACCGAAATAATGAATAACTCTAATATCAACTTACGAACTGATTGGGGCCTCACAATTGGTCATCAACCAACCGAAATTTTCCTCAACTTTCCTTTCAATTTTCCAACTAATCTCACCTTGTTTACCACTTAATTAACACAAACCACACTTATAATCCCCATATCAGTCCAATATATCCATTGTGGGTTTTGATAGAGCCCACTCTAATCATTTACAACCAAATAACAACACCCCCATGAAGCTACAAGGTCCAAGGCGAAATTTAATCAACTAGAACTAAGATTAAGGGACCGAATGATTATGATATAGGCATCCCTAGGGAAAGACCCTCCTAGAACCTCCCAACCTTGTAATTATCAGAGTTGGATCTTCTCTCCCAACAGAAATTGAACTCGATTGTTCTCATGAACTCAAGACCTCTGACACACAAAGGTAATCAGCAGCCTTAAGCAAATAAGGATGGATAAAGCGACACCACGATTAGGAAACAAGCTAATCGATAAAGTCTGATTTGAATCCTAAGCCATGAACTCAAGAATTCAAGAGTAAGTTCGATTAAGAACTTGAAGGAAAATTCCTCACAATTTCTGGTTGTAATAATCTCTCCCTCCGCTCATACAATAGCTGCCTTTTATAGGCGAAAACTAGGGCAAAACCCGGCCCACATAAACCTGGAAGAAATTCGGTCCGCACAAAGAGCTTAAAGAGCCAGCTCTTTAAGGCTTTCCGATAAGGCCTAATAAGTAATAAAATACTCAACGCCTAACAACTACTAAACTAGACAGTCTTAAAACAACTACCAACTAAGCTAACAAGTATGAGATCATTCCTTCGCTTCAAACGTACAAGTGAACAAAGTAATTTCATGGTCCATCAAATCTTCAAACCTAACTTGCTCCTTGCTTGTATGGTGAATGATCAAGGCTCGTAAAGCTTCCTTCACCTTCTTGGTTCTTGATCTTGTCATCGGACCACCAATGTTGATCAAAGGGTCCTTGACCCAAGGTTGAAGTTAATTATTGCACACCCGTATCTGCATCATTCCCTCTTTCCTCGAAAAGATTCGTCCTCGAATCTTCAAAGTCTCCTCTTGAAAGTGATTTGTCCACAAATCGATGGTGCGCTTAAAGGACAGCAATGTTGGAAATAGATGAATGACTACGAGCCATGTTGCATGTCGTTTGGTCAGCTTCGGGAAGCGCTCAAACAAGGACATGCGCCAAGGTAGGAAAGAGCTTGTGTAAGGCGTGTGAAAATCCCAAGTGGCAATCCAAAACTCTCTAATTAGCCTTTGGTCATGAAGCTTCACATTGACACCTTGATTGTGCAAAGGTGTAAAATCCAGCACTAGTTGACATTGATTTGAATCATCTTGCATAGATAAATTGGGAGCAACTTGTTGCATGGATGAGACACTAAACAACTCGTGGAGGACAGCTGTGGGATCTTGCGTGACACACAATTTCTCATCTTCCAACATATAAGGTAGCAAACAATTGAATTCCACTTCATGAGGGTTACTCGAACTAGCACAAGTTGAAGCTGACAAATTGAGCACTTGGCCACCAGCTTTTGGCTGTGTGAATAAGCATGAAAGATCACCACCTTTAGTTGGAATAAGCACGAAATCAGGTTGTAAGTCTTTAATCAAAACTGAAAAATTTTGGACAGTTTTACAACCTACAAAAACAAAATAACCTTCAACTTGAAACAAATTACAAATTGGGTAAAGAAGTAATGGTACATCATCAACTAAATGGTAAGAAGGTATAGAACAAGTTTTAAATGTGAATACTCCCTTTGCCACTTCATTATTCCTTCCACCAATTGATTCAACTTGAGAAGGCATTGCTAGCCTTTTACACTTTTCTTCAAAATCTGGATAAGAAATACAAGTCTTAGGATGGAAATTATACTCAAAAGAAGGTAAAGATGATGAATGACCCATAGGTAGCAAATGAGAGTCAAATTTCGGAATTCTCCCTTCATGGTGGATTTGACTGGATTCCCCTTTGGTATGGACAGATTTGAATTGATTCCCCTTTGGTATGGACAGATTTGAATTGAAATTGTTCCATGAGATGATTCCAAATAGATTCATTTCCTAAAAGACAAACTCCATGGAAGCTAGTGAATTGTACAAGTGACTTTGGAAAGGAGCATAGCATGACTAACTTCACTTGACTTTGCTTAATCTGCACAAACGAAGAAACACTAAATAAAGCAAAGGTAAATTCGTTAGGAAAACAATAAGCCCTCACATTTTTGCTCAAAATCGTCTCACTTTCTCTCTTTTCTTCCTTTTTACCACTCATCTCATCAGATTTTTCCATCTCTTTATCTAGTTTAACGCCCTCGATTGTTTTCTCATCATCAATCTCCTCTACAAATGGTTCAATAGGATGAGATACTCCTTTGTTGGGAATAGGGTCAGCTATCTCCTTCTTAGAAAACTCACTTTGATAGCAACCATTTGACTCCATTTGTTTTTGGTGTAGAAGACGTTGATATGTCTCCCAAAATGACTCCGCATGAGGTGGTTCAACTCTAAGTTTAGTCTTAGAAAATGCTGAATGAACCTTCTTATCACCTCTTGCATAAACCGGCTTTAAAGAGGTAGATTGCATGGAACCCCTCCTCTTGAGAGATTCATTCTCTTGCTTGAGTTTATGTTCGTTCTCTCGATTGTACAAGTCCGTGGTATAATGGAAGGGTACAAATCGTTTCCTCATCACTTGCTTCATTTCAGTCCAAGTGGCAATCGGTTGTTCCCTATTTCTCCTTCTTGTGGCACATACTTGCTCCCACCAAATAGATGCATAATCTTGAAATTCAATAGCTGCAAGTTTCACCTTTTTCTCTTCGGAGTAATTGTGGACTTCAAACACTTGCTCAACTCGCCTAACCCAATCCAAGTAAGCTTCAGGATCATTTTTCCCATGAAAGGTAGCCATCTTAGTCTTGACGGAACCAAGATTGTCATCGGTTCTCCTAGGTCGGTCTCGGCCTTCCCTCGCTTCCCTGTGGCTTTTTCTTGATCGGAATGAGGTGTTAGAATGATACCCCTCATCATCCGCATCATGCTCAACACTCTGAGCACTTGAAGTCCTATTGGGAATATCTCCAGTACCTCGCATCTCAATGGCAGCCACCCTGTCGGATATTTGTGCCATCGCAAATTCATGTCTCTCCGCTTGTTTTTGAAGAGTTTGGAGCACCAGTTTGAGTGACACGTCGGTCTCAGACGGCTCAGGCATGTTCCCCTCTTGAGACATATTGTCCAACCTGCAAAACAAATGTATTCTAGTCTACCTTGCAAAGCACTCGTGTATCACTCAAGAAAACACACTCACTCTCAATTTTCCTTATCGAAGTTCTTAAAACAACTCAACTCTCAAAAATTCCAGAATTAATTACCCTATAAGTAATAAGACACAAAGCAGAATTTTTTTTGCGAATCCTAGAAAACAAAAACTCTACCTGAAGCTGGAACTTTTTTTTTTTTTTGAGCTGTTGCTTTGCTGAGTTTCTGGTCAGTATTTTGGAGTACAAATGGTGCTTTTGGGGTGCTCAAAGAATGTACGAACCAGTCCTCAAATTTCAGTCAAATCGGATTGCAAAACTAGCTCAACCGATTTTAGAAACTCAAGAACTCCCAAGGCGGTTTGGGCTAAGGTGTTTGGTTTGGTTTTGAAAACGGAATTGGGTGTGTTTGGGGCTGGTTAGGTCGTTTGGGGTCTTTGAAATTCAATCAAGATTGGAACTCAAGAGTTGGAAACCAATCAAAATTAGGAAACTCAAGTTTTGGGAAATCAACCAAGATTTGGAGACTAATCAAGATTTGGGAACCCACCAAGAATTGGAAACTCACGATTTTTTTTTTTTTGGAAACTTGATTTCCTTTGTATGAGAGCCAATTCCTTCTCTTCTTCCTTTTTTTTTCTCTATCGCTTTTTTTTTCTTTTTTTTTCGGCTCTTCAAGGAACACAAATTCATATCACACCAACAAGTTCAAGAAAACGGATGAAAGGTTATGCCAATTCCAAGAAAACCCTAGTTCTTGGTTTATTGTTCAAGAATTTTCAAAACAAGACTTGGTGGTCCAAGAACTTCAAGAATTTGTTCAAGAAACACAAGAATTTCTCCAAATTATGTTGCGGTGTCTAGGGTTTGCAAAAACAACAACCAATTCTCATGAAATAGGCAAAACAGAATTTCAGCAATACTCAAAAGAAAATTCCAGCAATACTCTAGCAACTTGAACACCAAACAATATAAGGTACGTGACTCTTTTTTTTTTTTTTTGTCTTTAAACCCTAACAACCCAAACACAAGTATAATAGACCCAAGAACTTGGACAGAAAACACAAAAAAAAGACAACACCCAAACAGTTTTTTTTTTTTTGACTCGGATGAACAGTAACGTGAACAGTAATCGCTACAGTTTTTTTTTTTGTTTTTTGACAAAAGACACAAACTAACAAGATATGAACAACTTCAATTAAAAGAGAATTAACCTGATGCTCTGATACCAACTGATATAGGCAACCCTAGGGGAAGACCCTCCTAGAACCTTCCAACCTTGTAATTATCAGAGTTGGATCTTCTCTCCCAACAGAAATTGAACTCGATTGTTCTCATGAACTCAAGACCTCTGACACACAAAGGTAATCAGCAACCTTAAGCAAATAAGGATGGATGAAGCGACACCACGATTAGGAAACAAGCTAATCGATAAAGTCTGATTTGAATCCTAAGCCATGAACTCAAGAATTCAAGAGTAAGTTCGATTAAGAACTTGAAGGAAAATTCCTCACGATTTCTGGTTGTAATAATCTCTCCCTCTGCTCATACAATAGCTGCCTTTTTATAGGCTAAAACTAGGGCAAAATCCGGCCCACATAAACCTGGAAGAAATTCGGTCCGCACAAAGAGCTTAAAGAGCCAGCTCTTTAAGGCTTTCCGATAAGGCCCAATAAGTAATAAAATACTCAACGCCTAACAACTACTAAACTAGACAGTCTTAAAACAACTACCAACTAAGCTAACAAGTATGAGATCATTCCTTCGCTTCAAACGTACAAGTGAACAAAGTAACTTCATGGTCCATCAAATCTTCAAACCTAACTTGCTCCTTGCTTGTATGTGAATGATCAAGGCTCGAAAAGCTTCCTTCACCTTCTTGGTTCTTGATCCTGTCATCGGACCACCAATGTTGATCAAAGGGTCCTTGACCCAAGGTTGAAGTTAATTATTGCACACCCGTATCTGCATCATTCCCTCTTTCCTCGAAAAGATTCGTCCTCGAATCTTCAAAGTCTCCTCTTGAAAGTGATTTGTCCACAAATCGATGGTGCGCTTAAAGGACAGCAATGTTGGAAATAGATGAATGACTACGAGCCATGTTGCATGTCGTTTGGTCAGCTTCGGGAAGCGCTCAAACAAGGACATGCGCCAAGATAGGAAAGAGCTTGTGTAAGGCGTGTGAAAATCCCAAGTGGCAATCCAAAACTCTCTAATTAGCCTTTGGTCATGAAGCTTCACATTGACACCTTGATTGTGCAAAGGTGTAAAATCCAGCACTAGTTGACATTGATTTGAATCATCTTGCATGGATAAATTGGGAGCAACTTGTTGCATGGATGAGACACTAAACAACTCGTGGAGGACAGCTTTGGGATCTTGCGTGACACACAATTTCTCATCTTCCAACATATAAGGTAGCAAACAATTGAATTCCACTTCATGAGGGTTACTCGAACTAGCACAAGTTGAAGCTGACAAATTGAGCACTTGGCCACCAGCTTTCGGCTGTGTGAATAAGCATGAAAGATCACCACCTTTAGTTGGAATAAGCACGAAATCAGGTTGTAAGTCTTTAATCAAAACTGAAAAATTTTGGACAGCTTTACAACCTACAAAAACAAAATAACCTTCAACTTGAAACAAATTAGAAATTGGGTAAAGAAGTAATGGTACATCATCAACTAAATGGTAAGAAGGTATAGAACAAGTTTTAAATGTGAATACTCCCTTTGCCACTTCATTATTCCTTCCACCAATTGATTCAACTTGAGAAGGCATTGCTAGCCTTTTACACTTTTCTTCAAAATCTGGATAAGAAATACAAGTGTTAGGATGGAAATTATACTCAAAAGAAGGTAAAGATGATGAATGACCCATAGGTAGCAAATGAGAGTCAAATTTCGGAATTCTCCCTTCATGGTGGATTTGACTTGATTCCCCTTTGGTATGGACAGATTTGAATTGATTCCCCTTTGGTATGGACAGATTTGAATTGAAATTGTTCCATGAGATGATTCCAAATAGATTCAATTCCTAAAAGACAAACTCCATGAAAGCTAGTGAATTGTACAAGTGACTTTGGAATGGAGCATAGCATGACTAACTTCACTTGACTTTGCTTAATCTGCACAAACGAAGAAACACTAAATAAAGCAAAGGTAAATTCGTTAGGAAAACAATAAGCCCTCACATTTTTGCTCAAAATCGTCTCACTTTCTCTCTTTTCTTCCTTTTTACCACTCATCTCATCAGATTTTTCCATCTCTTTATCTAGTTTAACGCCCTCGATTGTTTTCTCATCATCAACCTCCTCTACAAATGGTTCAATAGGATGAGATACTCCTTTCTTGGGAATAGGGTCAGCTATCTCCTTCTTAGAAAACTCACTTTGATAGCAACCATTTGACTCCATTTGTTTTTGGTGTAGAAGACGTTGATATGTCTCCCAAAATGACTCCGCATGAGGTGGTTCAACTCTAAGTTTAGTCTTAGAAAATGCTGAATGAACCTTCTTATCACCTCTTGCATAAACCGGCTTTAAAGAGGTAGATTGCATGGAACCCCTCCTCTTGAGAGATTCATTCTCTTGCTTGAGTTTATGTTCGTTCTCTCGATTGTACAAGTCCGTGGTATAATGGAAGGGTACAAATCGTTTCCTCATCACTTGCTTCATTTCAGTCCAAGTGGCAATCGGTTGTTCCCTATTTCTCCTTCTTGTGGCACATACTTGCTCCCACCAAATAGATGCATAATCTTGAAATTCAATAGCTGCAAGTTTCACCTTTTTCTCTTCGGAGTAATTGTGGACTTCAAACACTTGCTCAACTCGCCTAACCCAATCCAAGTAAGCTTCAGGATCATTTTTCCCATGAAAGGTAGCCATCTTAGTCTTGATGGAACCAAGATTGTCATCGGTTCTCCTAGGTCGGTCTCGGCCTTCCCTCGCTTCCCTGTGGCTTTTTCTTGATCGGAATGAGGTGTTAGAATGATACCCCTCATCATCCGCATCATGCTCAACACTCTGAGCACTTGAAGTCCTATTGGGAATATCTCCAGTACCTCGCATCTCAATGGCAGCCACCCTGTCGGATATTTGTGCCATCGCAAATTCATGTCTCTCCGCTTGTTTTTGAAGAGTTTGGAGCACCAGTTTGAGTGACACGTCGGTCTCAGACGGCTCAGGCATGTTCCCCTCTTGAGACATATTGTCCAACCTGCAAAACAAATGTATTCTAGTCTACCTTGCAAAGCACTCGTGTATCACTCAAGAAAACACACTCACTCTCAATTTTCCTTATCGAAGTTCTTAAAACAACTCAACTCTCAAAAATTCCAGAATTAATTACCCTATAAGTAATAAGACACAAAGCAGAATTTTTTTTGCGAATCCTAGAAAACAAAAACTCTACCTGAAGCTGGAACTTTTTTTTTTTTTTGAGCTGTTGCTTTGCTGAGTTTCTGGTCAGTATTTTGGAGTACAAATGGTGCTTTTGGGGTGCTCAAAGAATGTACGAACCAGTCCTCAAATTTCAGTCAAATCGGATTGCAAAACTAGCTCAACCGATTTTAGAAACTCAAGAACTCCCAAGGCGGTTTGGGCTAAGGTGTTTGGTTTGGTTTTGAAAACGGAATTGGGTGTGTTTGGGGCTGGTTAGGTCGTTTGGGGTCTTTGAAATTCAATCAAGATTGGAACTCAAGAGTTGGAAACCAATCAAAATTAGGAAACTCAAGTTTTGGGAAATCAACCAAGATTTGGAGACTAATCAAGATTTGGGAACCCACCAAGAATTGGAAACTCACGATTTTTTTTTTTTTGGAAACTTGATTTCCTTTGTATGAGAGCCAATTCCTTCTCTTCTTCCTTTTT